CGGGGGGCAGAATTTGTCCCTGGTTGAGAATCCACTGAAAGTCATGAGTATGGTTGAAATTATTATTTTACAATATTTTTTTTATTGATTTCAGAGAGGCAAAGAGGAGGGAGGAAAGAGAAACATCAATGAGAGAGATGCTGCCTCCTGCATGCCCCCTACTGGGAATCCAGCCCACAATCTGGGCATATGCCCTGACCAGGAATCGAACCACCACTAAGCCATGCTGGCCTGGCTGGTTGAAATTATTAAAAGAAAAAAGTATAAACTGAAAAGAGACAAGGGGCTAGTACTGAATCTTAACAAATTTCAAAATGTAATAGTGGAAAAGGAAGATGGGCTGGCTAAGGATAGTAAGAAAGAATGGCCAGAAAGGACATTTAAAATGGTAAGAAAGTTAAAGTAAAAGAAGGAACAAGAAGGAACAAGGGGTTAACAATGTTAAATGCTACTGAGAGCTTTTGTAAAAGAAAGATTGACAAATGTCAATTAAATAGCACAAGTTCATTGGTCACCATCGCAAGAGCTATTACAGTTGGTAATAGGATAGAACCCAGATAATAGTGGAGTGAAGAGTGAAAAGTAAGGCACTGCCAATCTTTTGGAAAGGAAGAAGCAGTAGCTGAAGACGGGTGTGGGATCAGAGGAGGATTTTTTTTTTTTTTAACCTGACAGAGACTTGAGAAAGCTTAAAAGTTGATGGATGATTCCAGTTCTTTGAACTGACTTGTGACAAAGAATAATCAATAGTGTAATGTTCCTAAGGAAGCACAGGTAGAAGGACTGGACCTATGTTGGGTGGAAACAGTGTCCCTGTTGTAACTGAAGGTAAAGTGCCCAGTATGATGCACTCTCCTGCAGACACCTTACATTTAGCATTTCTAAGTAAGAAAATACCTTTCCCACAAAACCTGTAATTGCTCCTGTATTGCCTAATATTAATATTACTGTTCTCTTCTTTGACTAGTCCATGGAACCCCCATCTTCTTTCTCATCCTTATCCTCTTCCTAAATCTATTCCAATTATAATGTAAGTTGAATCAGAGCTCTCTTTTTCCATTGCCAAAAATCAGTGCATATTTTTATTACTAGCTCAAATGTCACTTCTTTTCAAAGCTTTTCCTAGGTCTCTCAGCCAAATAAAATTTTATGTATTTAGCACGAAAAGAAAAACAGAAGGGGCAATGTCAAAATAAAAAGTATTACGTTACTGTGTTATGAATTATTCTCACGAGAGTGTCCTGTTACTCATAACATTTCATTCTTTACAACTGGAGACACATCGATTGGTTGCCCCCCTAACGTGCCTGGTGATTGAACCTGCAACCCGGGCACATGCCCTGACTGGGAATTGAAGCCACGATGCTCTATCCAAAACCGCCAGGGCTTTTATTTATTTTTTTATTACTAAAAAAAATATTACAAATCATTATTTGGTCTTACACACCTTGCTTAAGTAGAACACATATAACATGGCAGACCAATTGTCGAATAAATGTGGATTCAATGCACCCATCAAGTCAGCCTTGTGGATTGCCTGTTCTTTAGAAGCACAGCAAATTTGGAGAGGAGCTTGCCAAACTTGCTCTAAATTCTGGGTCTATCTACTCTTGTGGTAGACTACTGGCACTGGATTTTAGTATTACCCTGAACATAGCCAGTCCTTTGGACCAGCACCTTGACCTGAAGCAATTAGTGGAAGAATAAAACGATAACGTGACCTGGCTCTGGGTAACTTCTACAGTGGGGCCTTGACTTACGAGTGTCCCGACTACCGAGTTTTTTGAGATACCAGCTGTCTCTCCGCCGATTTTTTGCATTGAGTTGATAGAGTAATTTGAGTTAACGAGCTCCTTAACGAGCTCCTTAAGGAGCTCGGTCTCGAAATGAATTAAACTGTATTTGAATTTGCTTTGATGTAAGGCTTCTGTTTCCCATATAACATTTTGGTCGCGCACTGTTATTGGCTGGTTCTTAAAACACTTGAGTAGTCCAGTTTACCTTGGTGTTTTCCAAACTTCGCCGAACTCCAGTGAAACCTGTAATTTTCACCACAAGGTTGAGGAGCCCATTGTATATGACCTGGAACCATTTCCCAATCCTCTCATTTCTTTCTGTTATGCAGTATTTGCCCACTTGGAAGACAGCTTCAGATTATCTGGTAAATTCCGTGCAGACGGGCCAGTCGGAGTGAGCATGGACAACGTGTGGACTCACGTCTCCCACTTCCACATCTTCCATCCAGTCCCTAAGGCTGGGACCCCCACGCCACTCCTCAGTCACCTGAAGCACCTGGCCTAGAGGCCACGCTCTCCTCCTTGCCCCACGAAGCCTGGAAGGGGGGGTGTCTGCCTCCTCTCGCTCCTCCCAGGCGTTCGCTCCTCGTCCCACTCCGGTCGCGAGGCCACTTCCAGCACCTTCACGCCCTGGCTCCGCCCCCTCCCGCTCCCCAACGTCCTTGGCGTCGGGCTCGAGCCTGCGCCTGCGCCTGCGCCCTGGGGCCGAAGTCGGGGCGCGCGGTGGCCGGAACGCGGAGAGCGGCGGGCGGTGCAGCCAATGGGAGCGGCGATGGCTAGCGGCTGTGAGGCGGGGCTTGCGCGGGTGTTAGGTTCGCGCGAGGCGTGACCTAGTTGACAGGCTCCGAGGTGCTGCTGTGGCGGCGTCCGCGGGGCTGAGGCGGGTGGGAGCCGAAGCCGAGCGCGGGCTGAGGGAGGAGGGCGGCGACTGGAGAGCTGCGAGCGGCGTGGGACCCGGAGCCCTTTTCACTTTTTCCCTCCCGAGTGCCCCCTCCCAGCCCTCCCACTCCACACCACCCTGTTTGCCCGTGAGCCTGGGGAACTTGCAGCTGAAAGCCAGCCACCCCCACGGCAACATGTACCCCAGCAACAAGAAGAAAAAGGTGTGGAGAGAGGAGAAAGGTAACGGCCTGCCGAGTCCTGGGGCGCGGGTGGGGGTGGGTGAGGGATGGCGGCGGGGGTCAGGGCTGTGTGTGCCGCGGTGCCCTCCGCCCGAGCTCCCGCCTCGCGCCCGCCCGCCCCGTGCCGCCTCCCTCGTGTGTCCGTGTGTCCGTGTGTCCACACCCGCGCTCCCCCCCGGCGTGCACGCGCCGATCCCGGGCGCCTGCCGCTCGCGCACTGGTGGTCGCACCCCCCTCGCGGCCGCCCCCTGCGCCCAGTCACCTCCCCGGGACGGGGCTGCCGCAGCCCTCCCTCGCGGCGTGGACAGGGGACAACCCGCACTTTGCGGACGTGCCCAGCACGGGCAAACATTCCATGAGATCCCCCCTCCCCGGCTCCACTTCTCCTGATGGGACTTAGATGAATGCCTAGTCCGGCCGTAAGAAAGAAACGTGCGCGCCGAAAGAAACAAGTGCTGCGGCCGAAGTGTGTGAGGCCCTTGCCGCCCTCCTGCAGGCACTCTTCGCCCCTGCCCACCGGCTGGCAGGGGGTCCCCACCTCCGGGCGCAGGTCCCTTCTCTGGGTCTCCCACTTCTGCGCCGCAGGGTGCCTTGAAACCTGGAACTCTTCTTGGGGGAAACCTCCACGAGCGTCTTGCCCGTGAGGAGGAGTGCCTTCAGGGACATCTCTGTGGGCTTTTCTCTGCGCGGGGTGCTTCTCAACATCCCACCCCCATTCATAGTGTGAAGTGGCTCAGAAGTAAGGTGGTGAGACGGATGTCACTCTCCGTGAATGAACCCACCCGGCTTCTGAGCATATCCAAGCTTATCCCCCGTCACTGAAAGTGGCACTGATTTCTGTAAGACACAGAAGTGTGCCTGCCAGCCAACCCTCTTCTCTTCTCTTCTCTTCTCTTCTCTTCTCTTCTCTTCTCTTCTCTTCTCTTCTCTTCTCTTCTCTTCTCTTCTCTTCTCTTCTCTCTGGCATGATAGTTAGATAATATTCTAAGGCAGCGGTTCTCAACCTGTGGGTCGAGACCCCTTTGGGGGTCGAAGGACCCTTTCACCAGGGTCGCCTAAGACCATCGGAAAACACATATATAATTACATATTGCTTATTGTGATTAATCACTATGCTTTAATTGTGTTCAATTTGTAACAATGAAAATACATCCTGCATATTAGATATTTACATTACGATTCACGACAGTAGCAAAATTACAGTTATGAAGTAGCAACGAAAATAATTTTATGGTTGGGGGTCACCACAACATGAGGAACTGTATTAAAGGGTCGCGGCATTAGGAAGGTTGAGAACCACTGTTCTAAGGTAAAACTTGGAACTCTGAAGTTTTTTTCTTTCTTCTTTTCACTCCTTTTTATTCTTTAGCTTTTTTACAGAAATGGAGGAAAAAGTACTTACATTGTTATCTGCTGAAATATACTAAACCTGGGCATGGCGTGAGGTCGAGTGAGGAGTGCACATCTCTCCTAAGTATCCCATCTTCTTTATAGAAGAAGGATATGGAGTGACTAGGTTGAAAGTTGATTTCCTTGATAACAGCTCTCTAAAACCTGTAGATTTTTATTGCAAGTCCTGGCCTCTGTAAACATCTAGGCAAATAGTGGAAAAGAAATGAATGTGGGAAAAGGATCCTCTCTATAGGGGCTACTTCAAACAATGTACAAGGGAAGGGTTGAAAAGGGAGTTTTTTTTCCAATTAACTACTGGGAAGATTTAACATAACAACTGAACAACTGATGAAAATGGTTTTTAAGGTATTGAAAGAGTAGGTTGTGTGTCATTTAATTATGTTTTAATGATTATGATCACATATAGAACTAAAAATTGTGTTGTCACAAAACAAATGCTGTTGAAAATAATAGCCTGATATATAAAGTAGTGTGAAATAATTGTTTTGTTTTTGCAGTAGCAATTACTTTACTTTCAACCAGGATTTACTTTGTAAGCATTGAAAAATCATTTATACCCATTTTTATTGATGGTCTTGAAATGTTAGCTTTGTATGATTGATAATAACAAAGGCAAAATAATGAAAGATATGGAGATTGATTTTAATACATGAATCATTAATGAAATTATAGTGATTACTTAAGAACTATTTTTTCTGTCATAATAGACAATGTTCCTGAGTAATATTATAATGCTTCCTTCATTTAACATCTACACAGTTGAACTGTGATAAGCAGGCTTTTTAGAATCTTCAATGTCTTAATTCTTAGTTTGCTACTAATTATAAGAGAAAATATAACCAAATTAATATTTTCTAAATAAAGAAGCACATGCACAATTAAGAAAGGCATTTAACAAAATGATTTCTCTTGTACAAACTATCCTATTTTTGCCTGAAGTTTAATGTTAAAGGGAAAACTTATTGAAACTTGAAGACTTTAATATATGTCTCTGTCTTATTAGGACGTCTATTTTTGAATAGTTAATATTTTTAAAATAGATATTGTACCATCAAGAAGGAGCTAAAGATTTCAGTACAGTAGTTAGTATTAAAGAAGCTGATGACCTTTTTCCATTTATTGCACTGGAGAGGATGGTGTCATATTTTTGGAGCTGTTATTTAAATCTAAAAGCTTACCCACCTCATTGAAATATCAAGGCATTGTATAAACATTTTAACTCAGTATACCATCTAATAAGTAGGTCTGCCTGCTTATATGTTTGATTAACAAAGAAAGGATTTATTGCAAAAGTGAAGCATTCTTCAAGGAAAAGTTTTGTGTAATACCAAAGAAACTATTTAGTATATGTATGTAGCTTTCAGTATGTCTCATTGTTTAAATGAATAGCTAAGGAGTTCTCCACATATGTTAACTAGATGTTGTTGATCTAGTATTTTGAACCCTAATTCAAAACTACTTAATGTGTATTACAATTTCAAGTACTGAAACTCTCATTTTTATCTTATTGTCTTATTATAGATCTTGTTTTGTCCTAAGTGTCCACACTTAAACTTTTAAATAAATGCAGTGACAAAGACTAGGTTGCTTTCCCATATGTACCTTCTGACACTCATTAAAACTACAATTGCTTCTTATATTTCAACCTGATTAGTGATATTGCAATATTTCCATATTAGTGATCTGAGCTTTTTAAGTAGTGCTTTAATAAGTTCTACTCATCCCTTTTCCTGCTGTGTGATTATTTAAATTTACTATCCCCTTCAAGATTCCTATTCCATCAAGACCCTATCCTCCTACTAAACAGATGATATTGCCCTTTTTTGTTTGTTTGTTTGTTTTAATAAGAGAAAGTTTATTTAGGAGGCCATACAGGTAGAAGTGAGCTTTAGAAGAAATGGGCTCAGGAAACAAGTTTCAGCAAGGGCCCTTGGAACTTAGGAGACGGAGATGGGGCGCGGGGGGCCGGGGGGGAGCAGACACACTGGGTCTTTAGAGAAGAAAGAGAGGAGAGGTTTGGGTGGAAAGGGAGAGGGAGAGAGAATGAATGAATGAGTGAATGAGAGAGCATGAGGGAGCACGTTGCAAGCCCTGGAGAAAGATGGGATTGGGGAAAGGCCTGGGTGTGCTCCATAGAACTGCCAGAAGTTGCCTTTTAATTCATGGAGAAAATACATGTCATATAACATGAACAACTGCATAGTATTATTTGTCTCTTTCTTCACAGGTTCTTTGTCTTTTCAGCTTTGTTTCTATCTTAAAGAAAGCACTTTTCTTCTTTGTTTCTAAGATTAACCCCTCTGTGCTGTCACATCTCTTGAATTCTTTGAGATCTTGTGCTATCATTTATTCCCTTTCGGGTATGTTTAGTTTCTGAGTGTCTTCAGGTTCCTCTCAACCTATATGAATGCTCAAGTCTCTTCTACCCTAACGTAGCCTTCCTTTTGATATCATTGTAAATAATCTGGTTATTAACAGGAAAGGAACAAAGGGAAGGCCAGATAATATAGGCATGCCATTTATGCCAGGTAGCTGAAGTTCTGTTCCACGCAGATCCTGAGGAAAGGGACTGGACAAAGGAAAACTTGATGCATACCTAGTAAGGTCTGGGTGACATAGGGAAGGTACTCAGTCACATGTGTGAACAGGTCATTGGCCAGAATAAGTGTGGCCATTTCAAACTCGGGAAAATTTGATACATATGTCATATAACATGAACAACTGCTTCTGAGCAAAGGAGCTCTCTCTCTTGCGCACTTGGCTACTGGCGCTCTAGTCACAGAGGGTGCACTCCACTGCATCACCTACATGGCTCACGGCCATGTGGACCCCACACACAATGGACTGATGGACTACAATTAGTCTGATACTACACTGGACCAAACTCCACCATGGAATGGAAACGCTGGACACTGGCTTTGCTTTTAGCTCTACTGAATTCCCAGTTGTACCTCTTCCAAGACTGGGTAAGAGAAATGGGACTTTGCACGCCGAAGGATATAATTCCATGCAAATAGAGCTTTCTACTATAGCTCATCCTACCTTGGGGGCCTCTGGAAATTCTTATTCCAATGGTACCCCAAGAACCCCACTCCCACTGGCAAAGGAGAAGGGCAATCCATGCAATTCTCCCATGAAACTTTCATCTTGGAGTTTGCTATTTTCATATATTTTTCTCAGTCTCTCATAGCCTCCTGGATCCCAGTTACACTCTAATAAAACTGATTTTCTAAAGTCATTCTGTAATAACAATGATGATGGTACTAATATAAAATAGTTACTGTTACTGTTTGAGTACTACTCAGTACTTTTCTAGGTACTTTACATGGGATCTCATTTAATTCTCACAACACCACTCTGGGGTATTATACTTAGGGTCAAGAGCTTTGAACACCATGCGCACGGATTTGAAACCTAGGCGTAGTGCTTTCTATCTGTAACATCTTAGGTAAATTATTTAACCTCTCTGTTTTGCCTCATTTATAAGTTGAGAAAAATACCTACCACCTATCTCAAAAGGAAACTGAAACATAAGGAGCTTAAGTAACCCAAGATCACATAGATTTGCATGATTTGGCATTAGAACCCAGACCATTTTGTTCATCACTTTATTCTCTTTTCAGTGCTTTGGGTGATCCAGTTGATAAAACCAATGATGTATTAATTTCTATTCTTTCTGATCTTTTTGTAGCAATTGGTAATATCTCTTCTCTTCTCCATATTTAAACTCTTTGCTGGTTTCCACATCACTGGGACCTTGATTCACCATGTGCCCCAAGTGACATCTAAACTTCATTTCATTTTATCCCTTCTTTGTGTGTACTCCCTAATTTTTTTTTAAGCTTTGCTCCCCTCCCTTACCTTCCCTGTGAACTTCCTGTAGGACTAGAAGTTTAGGTTATAATTTCCAAAATCTCTAGCTAGACCTCTCTCTTGAGTTCCAGATTCTTGATTTCAACTTGAATGCCCTTTCGGTATCTGAATTTCAATAGTGTTGACCCTTGAGTATTGTAGTATTGTGATTTGAATATATCCATCTGATTAAAATACAGCTTTTGTTGTTGTTGTTATTTTGTCTACTTATGTGGCTGAAGAAAAGCAACTTCTAGGAGTGGGGAAAAATATTGGCTCCCTGTTTCTTGTTCACTTGTGTTTACATGAATACTTTCTATAGTTCATTTCTTTGGAATAATTTTTCAAAGTGATTATTTTGTGTTAGGTTATCTAATGCTGGATACTATCCTTAAATTCATCACTTAAACTTTAATACCTTGTAATATGCTGAAAGAAAATTGGAGAGGGAGAATACAAACTTTGGTAAAGTATGTGATACAAGACAGCTGACTTACAGAATGAGTGAGGATGCCAGAGTCAGATTGACTAGTAGTAATTTTAATTTCTTCCTTATTTCTTTAGGTTAAAAATATAAATATAATTATATACACTTTCCTTTGTATCCTAGTGGATAATTTTATGTACCTTCTGGGATATGCATAATTAACTTTGAATATTAGTGGTCTACTTTATAGGATAAAGGTTTAACTGTTCAGCAAGTTCGTATACATTTTTATTTTAACTTTTGTTTCAAGTTACTTTTCACTTCAGTGGCCACTTCTCTTTTCATAGCATATCTTGCAGCTTCATTAAACTATTCTCATTCCTTATCTTTGTTTACATTACTCTTTAATCTGAAATATCCTTACTTTTTACCTCTTCATGATAAAATTCTACCTGTTAGGAACCAGCATACACATCACCTCTTGTGGGGAGCTTTTCTTGAGAAGGCAGTACAGTATAGTGGCACATTGTATAGGCTATAGTTTCTAATGGCGTTATCTGACTGGATTTTCATGGAAAGTTCTCTTGCTTAGGACAGACTAATGAACTTTGATGTGCTTTATTTCCCTATCTGAAAATAGAGATACTAATACTATTTGTTGAGTTGTTGAGATTATTTCAATAAAATTATATATGTGAAGTACCTGGCACATGGTGAATTCTTTATAAATGACACCATTATTATCAATTCTAAGATGCATTTAAAGGTATTTTAATCTTGTAATCAATATATATTTAAAGTATTGTTTACATCACTTCCAGACAGGTGTTATTAAATTAAAAGTGCACTTTTATTGTTGATGGCATCTTCAAATTAAAATATCTTGGTGACTGCCTTTCTTGTGCTCTTAGCATTTATACATACCTGTTTTAGGATTTAGTGTTTTATTTAGGTAGCTGTTATTTTGTCTCATCCATTTCCTCTTTTTGTCTTGTGAACTTCTCAAGGTCAAGGATCTCCTTTGTATTTGCAATGTGTAAACATATCACTTAGCACACAGTAGACTGTCAATAGATGTTGATTGGAAGAGTTTCCTTATTTTTCTTTCTGCTAATATAGTGTTAATTCGACATCTTTTTACACTTCAAAGTAGCATCATTAGATTTGCATTCTGGTGTTTCTTAAGCCCACATTGATTCTTTTGGTAGTTTAGCATGGTTAATATTTAAGTTATAAAATAATTCCTGATCTTAAAAGTTAAATACAAATGAAAGTTCTGCTTTTATTTTGCAAGAACGCTTACTGAAGATGACCCTAGAGGAAAGACGCAAAGAATACCTAAGGGACTACGTTCCCCTGAACACTATTCTATCGTGGAAGGAGGAAGTGAAGGGCAAGAGCCAAAATGATGGTAAGTTTCTCAGAATATTTTTCAGGTAGATACTGTTGCCATTTTTTTTAATGACTTCTGCAGGACAATTTTTGGCAAAAATGAATAACAGGCATTCAATAAAGAGATGACAGTTTTGCTATTTTAAATCATTGTCAGTTGTCATTTAATTATTTTTAGCAATCTATTATATATTATTTAAATTTAGAAAATTATTATTTTAAAAAATTTTTAAAATTCTAACCCTAACCTTAACCCTAATCATTCTAAAATACACCCTGATTATATTATGGTACTCTTTTATGGGTACTTTTAAAAAATTACATTGCAGTAGTTTTTGGAGCAAATGATATTAGAGATTATGGTGTGACCCTTTGAGTTTGTTTTGATTAGGTTTACTTATATTGGATTTCTTCAGTTTTATTTTAAGGATTGGATATGTTTCAAAGACAGTATATCAAAAAGAATAGAGAAAAACCAAATAACATTTCACATAATTTTATAGAAGAGTATACAGGGTGTCCCTAAGAAATGTATATACACTTTAATAGCTGATAACTCAATTTTGAAAATGAAATGCATTTTTATAAACATTGCCTTTATAATTATTCAAAGTGTGTTTATACATTTTTTGGGGTCTGGTATTATATCTACATATAAAGTATTATATGACAAATTTATTCTTTATCAAACTTGTTATGATTTAGAGTCTAGATTGTTTGAGGGGAAAATATATGTATTAGAATATAAATGAAATTTTTACTATTACAAAGGTTCATGGAAGAAAATTCTAAAAGCAACATAGTAAATTTAATGTATGTTTAATATGTTTATCTCTGAATTAACATTTATTGGTGTTTATGGTCTGGATGTCAAGTTTAAAAGAAATAGGGTGCTTTTTAGGATATGTAACAGTTGAGAAACAAAGGTAACTTTTAAAAAGGAAATTGGAGCATGCTGATTTCACAGATTGTGGTCTTTGATGGAACTATACAGGATATTATGGCCCAAAATAAGAAGACTAGCATGGAGTTCCTATGGACAAAATCTGTGGGAAGTAGCAGCCAAATTAAGATTTAGAACCTGTGAAGAAAACACATTGACCTGAGAGTTTGGGGCTTTAGACAGAATTTTGTTTTTCTAGGAAGGCAAATCATGTGGGTTCTTTTAGACCTTTCTCTGCCTGGAAAAGTGTGCCCTTGGCAAGTGGGTAGTGTGTTTACCCCTAGTTCTAGTGGGGGTCATTAGCTGACTGGGATGTACAGATCTGACCTCCTTGCACAGTGTCTTAAGTAAATGCAAGTTATTTTAATAATAGTCTAATCAAGACATCATTGAAAGAGTAGGTAGTGCTGTGTAATGAAAAGAATACAGAGCTAGATATCAAAAGGACAGAATTCTTGGCCTTCTCTGACCTAGGGCTATGTGCCTCTTAATGTTTGGTTCTCAATTATTTCTTTTGTTTATATGAAGCTGGTATTGAATACTTCAGCTTTACTTTTTATGCTAATAAACCTCTCTTTTTCCCGTGCTTCATTCATCTGGTTTTCTTTCTTGGTCACAGTTTTAGCTGGTCAGTTTTCTAAGGATGCAATACATGATGTTCTTTTAAAAATGTTTTTGACTCCTGAGATAGAGGTAGATTCCTGTTGCTGCCACAACAATTGACAAAGCAGTAATGAAACCCAGGCTGCATTGCCCGAGGTTGGGTTAGCTCACCTCTGCATAGAGGCTTGGCCTTTATGTTGGCTGCTTCTACTTGAACATTCAGCATGTAACAGTGTAGGATTGAACTGGGTTATTAAGAACTCAGTGTTGGATGTTTTTAGAGACACTACACACCAAAATGTGTCCCCCAAATCAGATAAGATACATTGAGTAACATCTGACATTGTTATTCCCTAACAAGATCCAGTGTATTTATTTAATCCTATTTCCCAATATGAGTGTTATAAGTGATTTACAACTGCTCTATGTATTTCAGTTTTTTCCTTCATGCTTTTTGAAAATGACGCCTTCATGGGGAACTAGGTGATATGATCAAAATTGTATTTCTATTAAACAGTGCTTTATTCCCTGCATTAAATGTTACTTGTTCCTCTCTGTTGTGATGTAGAACTTGGTGACTGGCCCCTTCTTTTTTCATGAAAGAGAATGGCTCATTCTACATGTAATATCTGTTAATTTCTTTATATAATATATATGTTTTCTAAGTACTTTCTTCTAGTGTTATGTATCTAGTCTTAGATAACTAAAATATTAGTCAAAAGAATTTTAGTATTTTTACAGTTTGAAAGATCTTTGAAAAATATAAATTCCAAAAATCAAAGGGCAATTATAAATATAGTTATATTTTATATTCTATTTTGAAACGTTTAAGCTTATGAACTAACTGCTTATAAATGTATATGTGTAGATATTGATATTTGTAGCTTTATTTTTTTATTTTTTAAATATGAGATTTCAAACTAAGTTTTAAAAGAAGATAATTTATAATTCTTTGTCACATAGTTTCTTTTAAATTTAGTAGTTTATTATTATCTCTGTCTTTATAGAAGTTCATTTGGTCTTGATATCCATAATTACATGGAAACTTCTTAAGCTATTGTTTTAAATTTTTTTTTACTTTGCTCAGTTTTCTTTTACTTAATTAAATGTTTATTGTTATATTGTAGTAGAAGGTTTAAAAAGGAGTGGAGAGACTGAATATGTTACTCATATTTTGATTTTAATCTGTCCTAATAAAAGGAAACCAAAAATTGCCAAACAATATAAAATCAATGTTTATGTAGAAAGAAGGAAGCAAGTAGATAATACAGGGTGGGGCAAAAGTATGGAAAATAATCCTATATAATAAAACCCTAATATGCAAATGGACTGAACGATGGAACGACTGGTAGCTATGACGTGCACTGACCACCAGGGGTCAGACACTTATCCCACAGGGGGAGTGCCGCTCAGCCAGAAGCCGGGCTCATGGCTGGCAAGTGCCTCTGCTGCAGGCGGCTGGTAAAGAGCGAGGTGTCCCAGACTGCAAGAGCACTGGACTGTGAGAGGGATGTCTGACTGCTGGCTTAGGCCCGATCCCCCCAGGATTGGGCCTAAGCCTGCTGGCGAACATCTCCCAAGGGGTCCTGGACTGCCAGAGGGCGCAGGCTTGGCTGAGGGACCCCCCCCCCCAAGTGCATGAATATCATGCACCGGGCCTCTAGTAATTAACACATTGCAGACTAGTAGTTTTATTGCTAGCTTTACTCAGTGGCAGGTAAGTTTCTATTGAAAGAGTACAAAAATGGTTTTACATAAATGTTAAAGGCAAGCTTTAAAATTAAATACCCATTGCATTTTGAAGTTACTTATTACATGTTCTTACAAGCTAATATCTTTTTAAAGTATGATACTTTGTAAAACACTGTGTAATATGAAGCGAGAATTCTCATGATCTGTCCGCAATGTGTTAATAAATAATAATACAAGAATAAACCGTGTTTCGCCTACTGACAACTGTAAACCTACTTTTACCGCAATGTATTTTCACATTGACATACTACTTTGGTAGTCTTGGAAAGCTATGGATCAGAAGTGGTAAGGAATGGGAGATGATTTCCAAAACCAAAACAGAAATCTGTTTGTTTATTATTCATGTTCATATTTATCAATACTATTAGTAAATCTCTTGAATTATATGCTTCTAATTACTTCTTCCTCTGTATTAGCAATTATGTAACAATTCTCTTTTACTTCTCAGTTGCTTTGTTGTAGGGAATTTAAAAATGCTCATCTCTCCTATTGTCTCTAGCATCTGGAATAGTGCTTCATGCATAGGTAGGCTCAATCAGTATGTTATATAAGAATATCTCAAAGGTTAACAGTCTACAAAGGGCAGTTCTTTTTTTTCAAACTTTAAAATGAGCATTTAAAAACATACAAAAATAGAGAGTATAATGAAGCTTTATGCACCCATTACTCAGTTTCAACAGTTAATATGTGGCTAATTTTATTTCAGCTATACAAAGCTCTCTGTACCTTTCTCCAGACTATTTTGAAACAATCCTGTACATCATATCACTTTTATCTATAAATATAGCTATGTATGCATATGTGTATATTTCTAAAAGATAGGGACACATTTTTATTGTTTTAATATAACCACAATACTATCATAACATCTAAAAATTAATTCTTTAATATAATAAAATATCTAATTAGTATTCATATTTTCCTGTATCATAAAGGGTTTTGCTTTCTTTGTATAGTTGGTTTGCTTGAGTCAAGATCTAAACAAGGTCCACATATTCTCTTAATTTATATATTTCCTAAGTCTCTTTTAGTCTACAATTTCTTTTTTCTCTGTCCTTTCCCTGCTTTGTAATTTATTTAATGAATAAAGTAGGTTGTTTGTCTTATAGGATTTTTTACATTTTGCATTTTGCTGACTGCATCTTTGTGTTGTCATTTAACATGTTCCTCTTTCCCCTGTGTTTCTTATGAGCTGGTAAATACAGAGGCTTATCAGACTTGAGTTTAATTATTTGAAATAATACTTTATAGGTTGTTGTACTTTCTTTCCTGTAATATTAGAAGACACATAATGTCTGGTTTTCTCTCTCTGTGGTGATAAAACTGGTCACTAGTTGAAGTATTATCAGGCTAATTCATCCATTGTAAAGCTCCCTATCAACTTTTCACCTAAATTACTTTAGTAGCCATTAATGATCATTATTTTTAGGGGTTATAAAATAATGTTATTTTAATATTATCATTCATTTTTCATTTATTAGTTGAACTTATATAAAGAAATTTTTTTGAATCAAGTTTTTTGTTTTCGTGCATCACAGTTTATACAAAAAAGGAAGAATAAATGCTAGATTTCTTCTTTCTTACCAGTTTTCAGGTTGAGTTGGTTCTTTGAAATTTAAAATGACTAAACAGAAAAATGGTATTTAAAACAGGATGGAACTCAGTAGGGATAAAAAAATTGGAAAGGAATGTTTCCTATTTAATCATTTGATATTAATTCC